AACGGCTAGCGCAGATAGCCCTCGTGTAGCTTTGCGCGAAATTACAAAACAAACAAACAAACATATATATATATACATATTTTACGATATTCCAAATGTTCTACCACTAGGGTGAAAGTGAATTTGTTTACAATATGGCGAACGAGATACCTTTGAACTTGAAGTATGTATGAATTGTGAGATATAATTAGTAATGCATTAATAATATTTCTGTAACTAAATTTTAAATATTTCCCTTTTATTACATTTATGTTTTTTTTTCATTGTTATTATGATTTATATTGCCGATAATAACAATGATAACGCAGGCTCTATCGACTTGTTAAGAGAAGAATACAGGTTAACTGCGTATTATTATTAATTGTCATCACACATCATAACTACGCTTGCCATGTAATAACTCTAAGTTAGTGTTTGATGATTTTTAGCATGTTATAACATCGGAGGAAACTAGGGTTTAAAAAGCTGATGCACCTTAATTTCTTACCTGAAAAACTCAAAAAGTGAAATGGAATTCTGCGTTTTAGTATTTACTACCAAATAACAGTTAATAAGAAAGTTTACGAAAAATACGTAACAGTTAACAACTTTATGTGTTCTGAATTAGACATGAGGTCTTACTTTTAGTGTTATGAAGTTATGCTAACAACCTTAGCAATGAAACTTAATGTTTGAAAATTTAGCTGACTTTGTATGAATATGCATTGTAATTTGTATGGTACACTTTCATGGAGTCTAAAAATAGGCCTTCAAACATCCTATAAAGTACTAATGAATGTTTTTAATGTTTGAATATGATGCAGTGTAAACTTTACATTTATTGTAGCTTAGGAAATAAGAAATTAATTATTTAGTATAATATCATAACATAGAGAATAATTGTGAAAAGAATATCCTTTAATTACAAGTTATTAATAAATAAAAAATATTAGATTTTTGGTATAGGTATCTGTCCACAGAATTTAATAACTCAGCCATCTCATAATCATCAGATATGATCCTTTCTTTATCATCCCTCAATAGCCCTACTTCTATTCTAAGATTTTGTTTACCCTTAATATAAATAATAATAATCCCTGTCAACACCCACTGGAGCATAGGGCCCCAACAACACCTCGCCAACGGAAGTTGTTGTTGCAGTAATTTTTTAGTAGGTTGGTTTTTACGGGGCAGAGTTGCTAGCCCCGCACCCAAACCCTCCTCCTTTCTCATCCTGGACTTGGGACCAGGCAATGGTGGTGGCATCCCTGCCGGGGAACGAACCCGGTACCTTTGGATTAGAAATCCAACACGCTATCCACTGCGCTATAGCGACACTTACCCTTAATATATTTAAACAAATCCTTAATGTTAATTTTTGCATTTTCAACAAACCTTTTTGGTGTCCTAATTTCCTGCTTGACCAACTCTGTTGATCTTCTAAATCTCCATTCATACCAGTCAATTTAAAATTCTTAAATTTGTGATGCTTTTCTTTAAGTTTATCTTTTATACCCTTTGTGAGCCAACCTGGTTTTTTTACTTGCAGCCACCATTTTTTTTTCTATGAGGAACATGTTTATCTTGAATATATAAAATTTATTTAAAACATTTTCCACATTTGATCATTGTCTTAAAACAATTCAGCTTCCTAATTCTCAACAGATAATTTTTGTCACATCCCTTCAAAATTTTCTTTTTTGAAATTTGTAACCAAAATATCATTATTCCTGATCTCCATATGCAACAAAACATCAAATCTAATAGATCAATGATTACTTCCTCGCATATGTTCCACAATTTACACCCTCTCAACCTAGCACCTTCATGCCAACCATAACTTTTAATATAGTTAAATAGAGAACTTTCTTTGTTTGAAATTAGGATGGAAAATTGACTTGTCAGTACTCAATAAGAAGCAAAGCTTGATGATATATGTATACAGTATATACATTTGTCTGGTAGGAAGAAGTGGCTAGTAGTGTCTCTTTGGGGTAAGTTTAAACCTTGTGATTCAGTATTTGTGTCAGTGGATTGGATAACGTCTTGGACTGTTTAATAAATCTAATTCCCTCATCAGGCAGGCAGTAGCACTGCCTATATAGAGATGGCTCGGATTGTTCATCAAAATAGTATTTCAAATATCTCCTCAGTAGTTCATCAGAACTTTACAGTGTTTCCTTTTATAACAATATCTATGTAATGACTGAATCACAAGTACTGGAAAAGTCTGTAAATATCATAGCACAAAATTTGAATTTCTTGTTCTTCTTTTTTATTACATGATAACTCAAAAACTAAAAAAATGGTGTCAACCAAATTCATTGAGGTGACATAGTTTCAAATGGAGTGTCCACTTTTATAAGTATTAGTAACTAGTATTAATTAGAAACAAAAAACATAATTCTAGTGTAAATAGTGTTATCATTACCTTTTAAAGTTAGCTTTCTTATAGAAATTTGGTGTTCCTTTAAAAAGCTTAAGTACAGGGTGAAACAGGAATTACCAGGCAGTAATAGAATGTAATGTAATGAATTCTAATAGTGTCACATGCATACTACTATAGTGGTCATTACCAAATTGTAAGAAACAGACTTAAGAGAGTCCAGCTTCAAACTGAGAAGAACTACTTATTTTCACAATTAATGGCATATATCATTTCAACTTTTTTTTTAATATCATCACAAATGGCAATGAATACTTGTACTTTCTCCCATGATTCAAGGTTACATGCCTCTACCATTGAAATAGAGGGTTGTATCAGGAAAACCAGAGGTTGGTATTATACTTATTGTAACATTGTTAAATATGACTATTTTGGCAGCATTTAGGTATGGTGTGAAAAAAACGTTAATATGAGTTAATGTACAGTTCTCATTATGCTTCAGAGGCAGGCTTACTACTTAACAATACTTAATCATGCCTTGGACCCAGTTGTGCCATTTTTCACAAGTGCATCCAGAGTAAACTTTGTTCTTGTGCAATATAATAACAGTACTATATTGTCTGGACCATGTTGGATCATAGTATCTTAATCATAAAATCTTAGGGGCTTCAGATTGTATAGCAAGAAGTTATCTGAATACAATAGAATACTTGTGCGGCCTTCTTGGATTCTTGATATGTCAAAACTAAAATCACCACATGACATTAGTGAGCCAAACATAGCACTAACTAAAAATGTGAGATAGATAACTCTGACTGATCAGAAGTATGTTTCAGAGGTGTAGCAATTGTATCAATTCTAGGGTTCAATGCTCATGTGAAGTGTTTTTTTGCCAATTATGACTCTTTTACTGTTTCAGACAAATTGATTCACTCACATCCTAATCAAATTACTTTGAATTGAAGGTATACATATTCAGTGGTTTTAACTATCATTATATTGTCAGTGAAAATGAATTATTAACAGTATCCAGTAAAATATGTTGTTACTAAAATATACTTTAAGTTGAAAATGATTCATTAACTGTATCCAGTAAATAAATGCTATTCCTAAAATATAATTTCACTTCTCTTGTTCATTTGGTTGAAGAAAGTTGATCTATAAAATTTTGCTCTTCTCTAATTTGTTGGAATATAGTTGTTTGTAATAATATTAATCAAATGTTTAAAAATTGTCAACTAAAAATTTTATGTAATATTGTTTAACTGGAAATTATAATTTCTTATAAGTAATGCATTAGTAGTTATGTATGAAAAAATTTGGTTAATTGTACTGAATTATATTGGAGAGTAAAAGATCATTGTGAATGAAGTTTTTGAATTTCTATTGTTATACTGCTGAATTAAGCTACAAATGTACAACTATGTGAAGTTCACCCCAGAAAAATTGTCAAAAAGCTAAATACTTGTACTTTAATATTAAAACTGCACAATATTTCTGTCTTCCATATGTTCCAAGAGTAGTAATGAACATTGAATTTTTTTCATTCCGGATATTGCTATTTAAAGTTATGTATTCTGTTTTATTTGCTATTTATCTCATTGATGTATTGTTGTTTTTTCATAGTTTACCAAGTAAGCCAGGCATTCTTTCAGGCTGTGAAGAGGAGCTGATCTGCTTACTGACAGAAGTAGACTTAGCAGTAAAAGAAAAGCACCAGGCTTGGGAAAAGCAGTTGCAGGCTGCTCACTTAAAGGTTATTTCACTGGAGAAGAATAATGAAAGTCTTGCAAAAGCTCTGGAAAATGCATATCAAGAGGTAGACTCTTATTATCTTTTGTTTTTGTAAGTTGTTGCAAAATCAGTTCAAACAGAGAATGAGCTGTGTGAGTGTTATGAAACCACATAAGCAATTTTGCTGATTATATGATAGAGCTTTCAAAAAATGTTAACAGTTCTCTTGAAAATGTTAGAAAGTAGACAGTGTAAAAAGTAGTTGTAGATGTAATATTGTTGAATGCTCAAGATTCTGTTTACTTTGTTTATGTAAAACACAGTTTTATTATACCTACTTGCATAAATGCTGCCCTGCGGGTGGCCATTTGTGCTAATAATTACTAATCATAGTATTCATATCTTATTGAAAAAGTGAACATTTCTAAAAAATGGATTTTTCTGGAAATTACTGCATGGGAAAAGTGTTTGTATTGTGCTGATATAAACTGTAATATTTCTATATATTAAAAGTGGTACCCTTTATTGAAAAATAAATTTTTTTAATAATTCCATTTTTTATTACTATATTTACAAATTACATCAATAAAGATATAATCAGACCTTCAAGTACAGTCCTGGTGAAAGTCATGTTCTTGTTGTGAAAAGAGTACTTTTATTTAAAATTATGTTCTGTGATAAAAAAATGATTGTTACACATACCATAGGTATTTTTCTGTCTGAATCTTGATTACCAATATGGGAAATTTTTTATGGATTTTTTGTTTGTGGTGCCATTCAATAGATGATGCCACATTGTATTTATAATTTCGGTTGCTTACATAGTTAGATACATATATACACACACTATGTCCATTATAGTAAGATTACAAAAAGTAGGTTATATGTTTATCTTTAATATCCATTATTTGTAATATTTTTATGGTAGGAAAAATAGAAAGTGCATGGAAGAAGAGGATCACCATTTTAAATTTCTCTGATTTTAGATAGAATCACTGGTTTGTGGATCTTCTAAGTTGCTTTGCTCATGTATAAATTGTAATTTGGTCAAATTTAAAAGTGCAATTTCACAAATAAAATTGAACAGTGTTGATAGTTTGAAATTTTAATTCTAGGTAGAATCATTTAAAGAAACAGTTCATCAATTGGAAAAAACACAGATTGACTTAATTAACAATTATGACAAGCAAGTAAATGAACTAAAGCAAGAGGTAAGAATAAAATGAAGTTTTTGAATAATTTAATGCATTTTTCATTCAACAAATATTAGAGTTCTGGATCAACTAGAAATTATATTGTGGTTTTTGTTACTATTAAAATATGCTTTATCAAGTATTGTAAATTAATAGTATTTATTTTCTAATTATAATTACTTATAAAAAAAAAAAGAAGTAAAAACTAAAATTCAAATATAGTTTGGACTAGCTCTAAATATTATAGTGATTCTGTCATTGTTAAGAAGTGTACTGAAAAACTTTTTTCAGGGGTTGTCAACATTTTCATTGGTTGTAGATGAACAAAATACACAACTGATATGGTTAATACAGACTTGATAAAAGCTAACTTTATTATGATACCTTTTGTAAAAGTAGTTGAGTCATTTTATTTTAATGTGAAACAAACATATAGAGGTTGTTTAACCCTCTTGCTTGTCATGACATTTTACAGAGTTATGTTCAAAATCTAATTAAACTGCTTTATATTTAATGAATATGAATAAACTTGGCACCAAAATGAAATTTATAAATCAGGTTTTAATATTATTTAAGTTTGAAGTCCTTAATTTTATAAATAAATATTTTTTTAAATCCTCAGTCTCCCCCAATATGAGAATCATGTCATTTCTTCTCTAATTTATTTACTAACCCTCTCTGAAATATGGTATTTAATGTAAATTACTCATTATAATATAAATATTACTAAGGCAAAGATTAATTTTTATAGTATTCAATCTTATTTGTTTATGAAGTCATAAACTAGAAAATCTGACCCACTTGCCATGCCCACCTGTCACATCCTTTCTTTCCCAAATTACCAGTAATTCTTTCTAATGTTTTATACTATATCATTTAGAACTAATAGAAAGGTGAAGTTTTAATCTGTTGAAAGACATATAATGCTACATTGTTTTCAGTACAGAATAGTGTCAGTTTCATCTTCAGCTTGAAAGTTTATTTCGTTGTGTTCATATTGAGCAATTAAGGGAATTATTTTAAGCTCCTCTTGTCTAAGTTAGAAAGCCAGTTAAATTATGAATGATAGTTATCATTTGCTGTGTGCATGTTATTATTCTGTGTTCTCAGGTGCATTTTTTTTTTACTTTAGTGTAGTATTGCAATCATTATAAAAAAGTAGGCTTAAATTTCATTGGCAACCAAAATGTATATTTTTTATTTGTTGTTATAAAAGTAATTAAAATGTAAATATTAAATACTAAATTAGATAGTGAAAAATAATATAAATGATAAAAATTCCTCACAAGGTATGTTCCTGAGCAGCACGTGTGCTATGTCATTCAGTATGGCAGTGTGAGCTACGTGTTTATCGAATGAGTTAAAAGTTGTATGGTGGTATTATTAATTAGACGAGGTTCAAAGGGCAATAAAACTACATATAAACAGAATTAGACTGTTACAAGCTTTAAGATATTTAAGATAAACAATTGTAGTTTTCTGTTACAGTCTGCAGTCACTCTAGAAAGAAAAAAGGGGTAATTCTGATACAGTACATTACCTCTGCTCATATATATATAGCTATTCTCGTTCAGTGCTGCCCTCTATATGAAAAAAAACTTTTTGCATGCCACAAGCACTCCCATGTACCCCACGATCATCATGGTTCAGCTGCGTCTTGCACATAAATCATCATATGATAACCCCCACCAGCAGGAGTGTGACACCCTCCTGACAAACGTGACACCCTCTGTTCAATTCTACCAATCTATCAGTTCTCATTAGGTAGTGCTTTAGTGCAGACGTCTTTTGATTGTCCTCTCTTCAAACATTTTGTTCTTCAATATTTCATACGAAGTGGAAATATTTTTTACCACAATTTTTTTCTGTAGTTTTGCATAATAACTTACCTTTGTTATTCTTATTTTTTGCCCCAATTCTTCATCATTGCATGATGAATTCTGAAGTTTATGTTACCACGTTGGAGGTTCTACCACATACTTCCAGCACATTTACACAGACTTTAGGTCAGGGGAACTCAACTAAAGAAAGTTCAGCTTTCATTTGTTGGGAAATTGATCGTTATATGAGTTGACTTTCTTCACCTGATATTGCTAGACTTTCTACTGAACCTGTTTGTGATGACAAGGATTTTGACAGCCATTTTCCTCCAACTGACTATGTTGTGCCTTTCTTGTAGAACCTGCTAGGCCTAACTCTGACTTTTAGACATGATTTCTCAAGTGTGTTCCATTTTATCATTTCCCCAGTTTCTTATAATCCTGTTCCTTTCTTATTACATGACACCCCCTTCCTCATAGTATTTTGTTTTCCCTCCTTCTTCTGACATTAGGTTTCATACTGAGCATTTTATTTCTCAGTTGCAAACTGGTGCTAGCATGCCTCACCCTCCATGGGCTTTGGATCATTTTGCCTTGGCTAACCATCAAGCATATTACCCTTTTCTTGATTCGCAGCTGTTAGAATCACTTTTGCCTGTATGGGGCTGATCCTGACAATCCTGTATGTTTATCCCATGCCCAGTTTTCCTGCCTTTGTTTTGCCTTTACAACTCTCCTACAGTCCATGTCTACCATACACCTCCTTTATAAGGTACTCCACTGATCTCCTGAGGGATTTTGGAGGGATATATTCTCCCTCATTACCTCTATATTGTGGGTATTATCCTCATCGGTTCTCTCCGTTTATATGTAGTTTCTTTGCTGTTGGGATCTTCTGTGGAGGGATGCTGTCTTATCCCATGTTCACTTCCCATTCACTTATCTTTGGGACTTGCAGATGGCTCCTTTTCTCCATCAATCCATTTTGGGGGACATTCCTGAGAATATGTAATCACGTTAGGAATCTGTGAGGCAACATTCGACCCTTTCATCTTTGGTTGCTTGTTTGTTTCATTCTGAGCCCTTTCAATCTCCTGTTACTGTTCCACATCTTGCACCCTTTTGTCCTTTACCTGTTCCTTCCACTATGGGTTGCACCATTTGCTATATTTCTCGACATAGGTTTCGTCAATGCCAGAAGTACCAGTGACTATCCTGTGGTTTATAGTCCAGTTGAGCTAATCTGGCCGATTTTGTTACCATATAGTGGGAATTAGCTGCATATCCTTGGGTTACCAAAGTTTTATTTGAAAGACTTTTCATCCTATTCCTTTCCCCTTCCCCATTTTCTCCAGTACCCATATCATTTCTGTTACCTTGGGATCCTACTACCAGTTGATATCTGTCTGACGTGGTATGGTCTCTTCTATCACAAAGAGCTATCGAGCCTGTCAGCCATCATTCCCCACGTTTTTACTCCAGGTTGTTTGTAGTGCCCAAGACAACCGGGGTCTGATGTCCTGTGATCAATCTGTCCCACATCAATCGAATTTCTGGATCTTCCCTATTTTACCACAGAGTCCTCTTTCCCACTAAGGTGGACTTTTTCTCCAGGAATGTCGATGACCAAAGTAGATATCTCGAATGCTTATCTCCATATTTCTATTTCTCATAAGTCAAGATGCTATCTTTGATTTATCCACCAGTGGTTTGCGTATCAGTTTTGTGCCTTGTCTTTCAAGCTTGCTTTGGCTCTGTATGTCCTTTGTTGGAGGGTCAAAGCATTTACTCGACTAATGCATGTTTGGAGGTTGTGCTTACACCACTACATAGACAACTGGCTTCTGTTCACTCTTTCCAAACTGGTGTTGTTCACAACACACTGATCTGGTTCTGATGGATGCAACTCGAGTGGGTTGGATTAACAAGTTGGAGAAGTCTTTCCTGTTACCTACTAAATATTTTATCCACTTGGGTGTTTTTTTCAACACCCACTTCAATTGGGCCCAACCTTCTCATCTTCAACTCCGTTCGAAGGAGTTTTCAGTTCTCCATGCCCTTGCTGCTCCCCTCTTTCTGCTTGTGAGGTTCTATTGCATTTGGGGATGTAGGCTTTTATGGAAGTACTTATACATTTGGGTCAGGCACATATACGGTCTTTTCAGTGAACTCTGCATGACCAATAGGATTTTGATCAGGATCCCTAGGATTTTCCTATTACCCTTCCTCCCTCCCTCATTGATGATCTGCATTGTAGTTGAACAAGACCCACACATCATTGGGTGTACCACTTCCTTCACTTCATCTGGATTTGCATCTCTTCACAGATGCTTCCCTCCATGGTTCAAGGTTGTGGGTGGATCAACAGGAAGTTCTTGGACAATGTTCTACGGCCGAGAGGTCTTACCATCTCAACATCTTGGCTCTTTTGGCAGTATATGATTTGGATCTCTTTCTCCCTCTTGTAAGGAATTGACTTGTCACAATCCATTCTAACAATTCTACAGTGGTGACTTATATCAATCACCAAGGGGCACCCATTCTCATTCCTTTTGAGGTCGAATCTTGGATCCTCTTTTTTTGGGCCCACACATTTGGAATATGTCTCTTTGCATGTCATGTTTCAGGTGCTTTCAACCTCGTAACAGATTACCTTTCCAAACTATACAAAATTTATGTAATGGAATGGTCTCTCAATCAATCAACAAGTTTTCCAGTGGCTATGCTCCATGTGGGGTACTCCTCAGCTTTCCTCAATACCAAGTTACCTCTTTTTTGGTTTCCGGTTTCTCATCCACACACACTAGCTGTCGATGGGATGAGCCTGGATTGGACCAAATAGTACCTTTATGTTTATCCTCTCATCCAACTTTTTCCCTAGGTGATTTCGATCATCTATGCCACTCTGTGTCAGTTCTTCTGATTACTTCTTACTGGCTGACACAGCCATGGTTTTCTTATCTACTTTAGCCCCAAACTGCCTCACTCTTGCCTTTTCCTCTTACTCTGTCCCTTCTGTGTCAACCTCAGCCACCAGTAATTAATCCTGCTCTTCCTACCCTATGTCTTCATGCCTCATATTTATCTGGTCCTTGGTGAGGAGATTCGGATTGTCTCAGGAGGTACTTCCTTTTTAGCACATTCCATTTGCCCTTCCTCATTGGCAGTCTATCAATGTAATGGAACATCTTCCACCATTGATCTTTGAGTTGGGGTTTTCCTCTTTTTTTTGACCAAGTGTTCCTCATATTACAGATTTCCTCACTTGGATGCTCAATCATAGGACTTTGATCTTGTTTGTCGCTAGTCATCGAGCACCCTTATCCCACACCTTCCATTTTTCCGGTACCATTTAGTGTTTACCTTTCCTACCCTTTCCCTTTTGTTGCATTCCTTCTGGATTCATAAACCTCCTTATCGTGTGGTCCTTCCGGATTGGGAAGTCAGTATAGTTCTTCAGTACCTTACTCTACCTCCACTTGAACCTTTGTCCTCCAGTTCTTTGTTTCACTTGTCCCTTATGACTTATTTCCTATTCCTGTTCACCTGTGGGTATTGTTGGTCTGATACATTTGCCATCAGTGTTTCACACACTCTGTACAATTCCACCTATGTTCTCCTTTATCTGATAGATCTTTCCTCCCCAAAACTTTGACGGCTTATGAGTGAAATTCTTCCTTCTTGACGATTTTGCTTCCTTCCATCTTCCACCTTTATTCCTGGATTGATCTGGATATACTTCTTTGACCCATACATGCTCTTCATTGTTACATTGCTTGCACAGCTTCCTTCTGTGGTTCCTGTTCCTGCCTTTTCATGCCCTGGCAACATTCCTCTATTTTCCTTACCCTTACCAATTGGGTTTGTCTTTTGATTCGATTGGTTTATTCACCCTTGTCTCCTTCTTCCTGAACTCTGTTCCAGGTGTTGTCACATCAGATCAGGTACCTTACTTTTTCCATGGCATTGTTGGAGGAAATGTTTCAGTCAGGCATGTGGACTACACCTCATACATTCCTCTTCCACTATCTTCATCGGATAACTGTTTATTCCTCATCAGGGCACCATTTTCCACCTGTCATCATCCTTCAAACGTTGATGAGGCTGTGACTGGGTAAGTTATCTTTTTTATATACATTTTAATTTCTTTCAGTGGCATGTCCCTTTTTTCCATTAAGGATCCAACTCTGTGGTGAACATTGCCTGCCCAGATATACTTAATATATCTCAAATCCACACTGTATGGCCATGATGAAATCATAAAATACAATATACCCATGGCTAATAATGCACACTGTTGAGATGGGGTGTTCCATAAGATCGGTAGTAGGTTTTCCCTCACGATATATTTGCTTCATCAATATGCCCATTCCTGACTGTACTTGCCCATGGACTTATCTGGATAAAACAGATAGTGACCAATCCCTGGCATCCCTTCAATTGAATAAATCATGGGTGGTCTGCTTTCAAAATAGGATTTTTGTGGTTATTTGTTGCATTGTCTCCGGTGTTGGCATTCCTCAAGACTCTCTACTGCATTTTATTCTTCCTTGTTCTTCTAGTTCCGAGCTGGTGGGGTCGAGGACCATGGAGGTATCTTCCTGAATGTGATCATGGGTGGTCTGCTTTTCAAAATAGGATTTTTGTGGTCATTTGTTGCACTGTCTCTGGTGTTGGCATTCCTCCAGACTCTGTACTCCATTTTATTCTCCTTTGTTCTTCTAGTTCCAAGCTGCTGGGGTGGAGGACCATGGAGGTATCTTCCTGAATGTGATCACACAATAATAAACAAAAACTAAAAAAATCCATTCAATAGAGAGTAGAGCAGTGGTGTTCTGCTGAGTTAGATGGTATGTGGTCCTCCAATTGTGTGCTCCATCTCTGTATAGTGGGCTATGAAGGTTGATGTTGCACCCAGCTTCTATGTAGTTCTATATGGAGGGTGAGGTTGCTTATAATTTATGGATGCACACCACTTCTGTGCGGTGGGACTCGGAGGTTACTATGGCACTCCAACCTTTTTGTGCTCCTATCCAGAGGATAATGTTGCTTTGGAGTTGATCCATCACATTGCAGTTCACCCCTTCAATTGGGATCCCTCATCCTACCATCACATGAATGTTAGTTCCTGGTGACTGGTTTTGAATTTAGTACAGGACCAATCAACATAAGTTCCCCATGTGTTGCTTGTGTTTCTTCTTCCTCAATCCATTTGCCTCATGATCATCAACTCCATGCAGTGGGTTCCAGAGATTGGGCCCCCAGTGGTGCAGTGGTATGTCTGTGGATTTACAATGCTAGAATCTGGGTTTCGATACCCGTGGTGGGCAGAGCACAGATAGCCTATTGTGTAGCTTTGTGCTTAATTAAAAACAAACAAACAAACAAACCAGAGGTTGATGTTGCACCTGGCTTCTGTGTGTCTCTATCCAGAGAGTGAGGTGGTTATATTTTTCATCGAAGGCCATCCGCTTCCTTGTGGTGGGACCTAGAGGGTGGCATTGTGCTCTGATGTCTGTGTGGTGCTATCCTGAGGATAATGTTGAATGAGGTGACGGTTCTCCCTCTTGCACTCCACTTCAAGGAGTTTCACAGCCCGAGTATTATGTTGTGCAATGGGATGCCAATCTGTTTCAGTTTGATGTGACCTGCCACATGGGCACATCTCTCACTTTCATCATTTGGACATCAGGCTCCCGGATGTATGGTTAGATGTAGATCTGCGCACATGTGCCTATTTCGTAGATCAGTTTGCACAGTATATACTTCCGTTCTACTAAAGTTGAGGTGAAGACAGTGTGGACCCTCCTCCTACCATGGGTCATAGATTATATTCCCGATACTGATTGGTTTGGACTGAAGTTGACCTGACGCATACAGTCCATCCCTCCCTAGCCACTCTACACCATGGAGCACATCCATTTTAGCTTTTCCTCACATTCTATGGTCTTTCTTCGATGGGATTGAGATTATGATATACTGTGGTTGGGATTCCCATCCAACCATTTTTCTCTCCCTTTTGGTTGTACTTCTCCCTTTTTCTACCTGTGTGTGCAACACCTTTTTTCACACTGAGTGCACAGTTAACCTGGTGCAGTAGTGGTGAAGTCTCCCACTATGATCCTCTACAATGGGATTACAATTCTGGGGTGTTCTTCAGATGCTTTCAAAGAATGCTTATTTCTATCCATCACACCATCCTTCCACCTGTTCAAACTACATATGTGAGCGGAGGTAATGTACTGTATTGGAAGTTATAATTTTCCAATATTGAAAATGTATTTCTCATCAGTACTCCTCTAACACTTCCTCCCCACTGAAAACTGGTGCTTCCATCTTCCGACAAAACTTGAAGTGATAGTTTGATAGAATTGAATAGAGGGAGTTACGTGCATCAGGAGGGTGTGTCACACTCCTATCGCTAGAGGGTTGTCACATGATAATTTACATGCGAGACTCAGCAGAACCATGATGACCATGGAGTATGTGGGAGTGCAAGGCTTGGGACATAGGGCAAAATCTTTTGCATATAGAGGGCAGCACTGAATGAGAATAGATATATATATGTGATGGGAGGTAAGTACCTATCAAAAATATATTTTCAGTATAGGAGAATTGAGTTGGAACTGATTTGCTTTATTTTTATTCTTTTTACACATTATATGGATTATTTAAGTGGTTCATATATTTTGGTAGGTTTATGGTAAGTTTTGTAGAGGCTTACTAAGTTGAAATTGCTTAGTTATTTTTTATATCTAACATTATAACTGTTTAATTCGTTTATTTTACTGTACTACTTTTTGCATCTTTATAAAAATGCATTAACAAAATTATTATGTTATTTTTGGAAGATATCTAAAGTAAAGAAGTATTATGAGAAACATGTGAAGAAAGAAAAGAAAAAAGCCCAAAAAGAAGAGAATTCTGAAATGATACAACTGAGAAAAATTATTACAGAATTAGAGGTAAAAATACAAGTATTTAATAATTTGATATGGTAACATGAGCTACATGTTGACTGAGTGATTTACAATTTATGTGGTGGAATTATTAGCTAGATAGCTCAAAGGGCAGTAAAACAATAAAATTGAAGTAGAAACAGATGTACACAGCATGGTCACAAGTAAATAGACACCACCTTTTCAGAAAAAATGAAATTTTCAGTCATATTCACTTGAATTGATATATTTATAATTTAATTAATATCTAGTATATCTTCCTTTCG